GTGCTGACAAGGCTGAAAAAGCAAGTGCCTCTTCGATTTCTAATATCGGCCCTCGTGGTCTTTGAGCAGCCCAGCTTTTGAGAAAGCAAGCGCTTCTTCGATTTCTGCGATCGACCTTCGTGGTCTTTGAGCAGCCCAGCTTTTGAGAAAGCAAACGCCTCTTCGATTCCTGAGATCAGCCCTCGTGGTCTCTGAGTAGCCCAGCTTTTGAGAAAGCAAACGCCTTTTCGATTTTTGAGCAGGCGCCTCTTCGATTTCTGAAGCTCCATCGAGTGCAGATTTTTATAGAGGCTGGTATTAAGTTCCAAAGCACACTTGAATCTTCACCAGTATAAGCTCCCTTCTTGCATTTCTAAGATCTTGATTTGTCCGACCTCTTTTCTTTTCAACACCTTTGAAAATGTCTGGCCCCTCCGACCGTCGTTTTGACTTAAACCTTGTGAATAGGCAGCCACGCCTTCTCCAGACAACATATGGCGCCCATCCTTCTTATCCCCTACTAGTCCTCTTACCGTTGGGGATTCCGTGATGAAGAATGATATGACCGCTACGGTGGTAGCCAGGAACTTTCTCACTCCCAAAGATAACAGACTACTTTCCAAACGGTCTGATGAATTGGCTGTTAAGGATTCTCTGGCTCTCAGTGTTCAGTGTGCAGGTTCTGTGTCTAATATGGCCCAACGCCTATTTGCTCGAACCCGCCAAGTTGAATCATTGGCGGCTGAAGTGATGAGTCTCAAACAGAAGATTAGAGGGCTCAAGCATGAGAATAAACAGTTGCACCGGCTCGCACATGACTATGCTACAAACATGAAGAAGAAGCTTGACCAGATGAAGGAATCTGATGGTCAGATTTTACATGATCATCAGAGGTTTGTGGGTTTGTTCCAAAGGCATTTATTGCCTTCGTCTTCTGGGGCTGTACCGTGTAATGAAGCTCCAAATGATCAACCTCCGATGCCTCCTCCTTCTAGGGTGCTGTCCAGTACTGAGGCTCCGAATGATCCCCCTCCGGTGCCTTCTCTTTCTGGGGCTCTGCCGACTGCTGAGACTTCTCCTAAGCAACCTTTGTGAAGGCTCCCTCTTGTTTGTTTATTTTGACTCGTGTATATGTACATATTTGTAACTTCTTAGAGATATCAATAAATAAGCTTTGTTTCATTTCAACGTATTGTGTTAAATACACCAAAGCCTTCTTCAATAAGTTCTTTGAATTTTTCTTTTGTTGAAGCTTGTATGTTGAAGCTTTGTGAGTGGAGCATGTAGGTTGAGGTAGTGTTCCCTTAATTTCCCGAGTGGGGAAAACTTCTCGATTGGAGACTTGAAAAATCCAAGTCACTGAGTCGGGTCGACTATATGAATCTTAGAACGCCATTGTGCTCGATCATGTGTCATATCCTCCGTTAGATCCAAGTACTCTAAGTCTTTTCTTAGAGTCTCTTCCAAAGTTTTCCTAGGTCTTCCTCTACCCCTTCGGCCCTGAACCTCTGTCCCGTAGTCGCATCTTCTAACCGGAGCATCAGTAGGCCTTCTTTGCACATGTCCAAACCATCGTAACCGATTTTCTCTCAGTTTTCCTTCAATTTCGGCTACTCCTACTTTACCTCGGATATCCTCATTCCTAATCTTATCCTTTCTCGTGTGCCCACACATCCAACGAAGCATTCTCATCTCCGCTACACCCATTTTGTGTACGTGTTGATGCTTCACCGCCCAACATTCTGTGTCATACAGCATCGCCGGCCTTATTGCCGTCCTATAAAATTTTCCCTTAAGCTTCAGTGGCATACGACGATCACACAACACGCCGGATGCACTCTTCCACTTCATCCATCCAACTTGTATTCTATGGTTGAGATCTCCATCTAATTCTCTGTTCTTTTGCAAGATAGATCCTAGGTAGCGAAAACGGTGGCTCTTTGGTATTTCCTGATCTCCGATCCTTACCCCTAACTCATTTTGGCCTCCATTTGCACTGAACTTGCACTCCATATATTCTGTCTTTGATCGACTTAGGCGAAGACCTTTAGATTCCAACACTTCTCTCCAAAGGTTAAGCTTCGCATTTACCCCTTCCTAAGTTTCATCTATCAACACTATATCGTCTGCGAAAAGCATACACCAAGGAATATCATCTTGAATATGTCATGTAAACTCATCCATTACCAACGCAAAAAGGTAAGGACTTAAGGATGAGCCTTGATGTAATCCTACAGTTATGGGGAAGCTTTCGGTTTGTCCTTCATGAGTTCTTACGGCAATCTTTGCTCCTTCATACATATCCTTTATAGCTTGGATATACGCTACTCGTACTCCTTTCTTCTCTAAAATCCTCCAAAGAATGTCTCTTGGGACCCTATTATACGCTTTTTCCAAATCTATAAAGACCATGTGTAAATCCTTTTTCCCATCTCTATATCTTTCCATCAATCTTCGTAAGAGATAGATTGTCTCCATGGTTGAGCGCCCTGGCATGAACCCGAATTGGTTGTCCGAAACCCGTGTCTCTTGCCTCAATCTATACTCAATGACTCTCTCCCAGAGCTTCATTGTATGACTCATTAGCTTAATACCCCTATAGTTCATGCAATTTTGTATGTCGCCCTTATTCTTGTAAATAGGCACCAAGGTGCTCTTTCGCCACTCGTTTTTCAAAATCCTATTGAAAATGTCAGTGAGCCATGTTATACCTGTCTCTCCCAAGGCTTTCCACACTTCAATCGGTATATCGTCTGGGCCCACTGCTTTTCTATGCTTCATCTTCTTCAAAGCTACAACCACTTCTTCTTTCCTGATTCGACGATAAAATGAGTAGTTTCTACACTCTTCTGAGTTACTCAACTCCCCTAAAGGAGTACTCCTTTCATGTCATTCATTGAAAAGATTATGAAAATAACATCTCCATCTGTCTATGACCGCGTTCTCTGTAGCAAGAACCTTTCCATCCTCATCCTTGATGCACCTCACTTGGTTTAGGTCCCTTGTCTTTTTTTCCCTTGCTCTAGCTAGTTTATAGATATCCAACTCTCCTTCTTTGGTATCTAGTCGCTTATACATATCGTCATAAGTCGCTAACTTAGCTTCTCTCACAGCTTTCTTCGCCTCTTGCTTCGCTCTTCTATACCTTTCACCATTTTCATCGGTCCTATCCTTGTATAAGGCTTTACAACATTCCTTCTTAGCCTTCACCTTTGTTTGTACCTCCTCATTCCACCACCAAGATTCCTTTTGGTGTGGAGCAAAGCCCTTGGACTCTCCTAATACCTCTTTTGCTACTTTTCGGATACAGCTAGCCATGGAATCCCACCTTTGGCTAGCTTCCCCCTCTCTATCCCACACACACTGGGTGATTACTTGCTCTTTGAAAATGACTTGTTTTTCTCCTTTTAGATTCCACCATCTAGTCCTTGGGCACTTCCAAGTCTTGTTTTTTTTTCTCACTCTTTTGATATGTACATCCATCACCAACAAGCGATGTTGATTAGCCAAGCTCTCCCCCGGTATAACTTTGCAATCCTTACAAGTTATATGATCCCATTTCCTCATTAGAAGAAAATCTATTTGTGTTTTTGACGACCCACTCTTGTAGGTGATCACATGTTCTTCTCTCTTCTTAAAGAAGGTGTTGGCTAAGAAGAAATCATATGCCATTGCAAAATCCAAGATAGCTTCCCCATCCTCATTTCTCTCCCCAAAACCATGGCCACCATGAAAACCTCCATAGTTGCCTGTCTCCCTGCCCACGTGTCCATTTAAATCTCCTCCTATAAATAACTTCTCCGTCTGAGCAATTCCTTGCACCAAGTCTCCAAGGTCTTCCCAAAATTTCTCCTTCGAACTCGTATCCAACCCTACTTGAGGTGCGTACGCACTAATCACATTGATGAGTTCTTGTCCTATTACAATCTTGATTGCCATGATTCTATCTCCTACCCTCTTGACATCTACAACATCTTGTGTCAAGGTCTTGTCCACAATGATGCCAACACCGTTTCTCGTTCTATTTGTGCCCGAATACCAAAGCTTAAACCCTGAGTTTTCTAGATCCTTTGCCTTAAGACCAACCCACTTAGTTCTTATAGGCACATAATATTTATCCTTCTCCTCACCATAACTTTCACTACTTCCATAGATTTTCCCGTTAAGGTTCCTATATTCCACGTTCCTAAACGCATTCTACTCTCTTGAACTCTACCCTTCTGTCCTAGCTTCTTCACCATCCCCCATCTAGTAGGATCAAAGTACTTCTTTTGTGTGTCCTGTGTAAAGTTGATAGAAGCATATGCTCCCAAAGAACTTTGAGTGGAGTCGTTCGAAAAAAAGTTTCTATGGCCCCCCTTGCTCATTTAACACTGCATCCGGGTGCCGATGGAGATACAGCGACCCTTGCTCACTTATCATTGTGCTCGGGCCACACAGCGCGCCACTTACGGGTGACGTCCTAGCTTTAGTGCGATTTCGTTCTGGATTCATTGTCATAAGGATTCGACGTAACTGTGGAGTGCCGGCTGTCGACTACCTGACCCCCCTCCTCCTTTATCCGGGCTTGGGACCGGCAATGTAAGATAAACTTACACAGGCGGAGTTGTATTTGAAATTTGGTCAAACAGCCAAAAATTATTATAGCTTTAAAAAGTTTTTACTAACTTCTATGTTTTTAGCCGTTGAATCAAATTTCAAAGATCCGGATTACTTGATTCCTAGACTTTGAAGGCGGATCCACATAGGAACCAGGTGGTCCCGGGACCCTCTGGAGGTTAGAGCAGTTCATGTTAGGCTCCTCCGGGCGTCCCTCAATGATCTGACTGACAGGTTATGGTGGAGAGGTTGTTTGTTTATAGTCTTTAGACCTCCATCGATGCGTACAGCCAGTGTTTTAAACATCTTCCTCCTCTCATTATTGTGATAGTTTTCAACCGTCCCCTCTCATTCCATCTCCCTAATAATAATAATAATTTTCTTTGGCCGAGACTTAAAAATTGTGTTTCGACACACCAGAGGAACTAGAAACTCTACTTTTTACTTGTTTTGTTAAGAAACTTGTAACATTTTTTTTACAGCTTTCACCCAAGGGTACTTTTAGTAAACCGAACGAAAGGTGCATCAGAATGAACACGGATAGAAGCAAGTGTTTCAGCCTTGCTCTATGAAATTACAGAAACTACAAATTACTCGGTTTTGCCATCGGCTAAACTACACAAGGGAGGCTAGCTGCTTTCCAGTTTCAACGAGGCTGCTGGATGAAACGGGGGCTGCATTTCGGGCTCACATGCTTTGCTGGCTTCTCAGCGTACTTCCTCGGCTCCACCGGCGATTTCAGATGTCTGTCCTCCAGTGACTTCAAATTCTTCAAGACCGCAGCACTCTTTTCTAACCCCGCTGATGTTCCAAAACAAAACTTGTGTCCAACAATCAAACAGCATATTTGGAAACTACTTAAAAAGTTTTTCATTCCAAACAACAACAAAGCCTTATCCCACTAAACAGGGTCAGCTATATGAATCCTACAACCCCGCTGCGCTATGTTTTGTGCATAAAAGTTTTTCATTCCAATTTACAAAAATCTACAATCGTTTAGAGTACCTGTTCTTACCATTTTTACCTTCAGTATGAGACATCTGAAGGAACTCTTCAAACTGAGATTCTTCTAGACTGGAGAAGTCATCACCAACATCGAGATCAAAGGTCTCTGGAAGCAAATCGGCGACATTGTCAACTTCATTCTGGGTATTATCATAGAAGCCATCCTCACCCTGTTGACTGAGCCAGTAATCATGGTACCATGTGGAGGTTGTGACCAGTTGCCACCATTCCGGGGAGAAATCCTCCACCTGTCGCAGAGCCACAGGGATGAAGAGAGGGGCATTGGGATTCAACCTTGATCCTCCGGAAACCAGTGCCATCTTTGGCCGAGCGCAAGTCAACTGCACCGGAAAAACACAGTAAATCAGTCACGAAATCTTGTCATTTTCAAGTTCCACACAAGTAAATGAGAACAATGCACTAATCCATGGAAAACGTTTTCTATGACACGATTCTATGCAAATCGGATCAAATTTCCGCCAAAAGTTTTTAATTTACAAGCACACTGACGAGAATCTAAACTTGCACAGATCGACAATGAAATTATTTCCTCGGAAATATAAACTATGATTTTCACCTGAGCAGCTAATTGAAAATCATAAAATCAATGAACTTGCAAACTTTCATATTACCAGAATTGGATCAACTTCATCGGAGAAATCCAGTTCTTCAAACTAATCAGTCATAAAAAAACATAAATAAATAAACCAGATTTTCTAAGTTTTCCAAAAAATCTTCAGTTTTCTTTTCGCGTTTTCCCAAATTTTCTCAACAACCAAACAGAACCAGATCTACCAATCAGAAAATTAAAAACAAGCCAGACCCTTACAGCTAAATTATTCGCTCGATTTTACCTAATCAACAGTTTCTGGTCTTAATTTTGTTCGGACACTAAAACCTAATTCAAAGAATCAAGATTCCAATTTCGTTCTTTTTCCTTCATTTTCTCAGCAACCAAACAGGGGCGATAATAATTTTACACCTAATCATATCCATTAACGAAAAAAATAAATCGCAAAATTCGAAAGATTTTCAGTACCTCCTCCGAGGCTTCGAGCGAAGAGGAAAATATCAGGCTGCGAAATATCAGGTAAAGGGCCTGACCAGAGAGCGAGAAATACGTGTGAGGAGAGCGAGAAATACGTGTGAGGGGACAAGAGAGGGAAGGGGGGTTTATATAGTGAGGGAAATCCGAGCCTAGCTGCTTTGGAATGAGAACCTGAGGTTCGGGTACTCCGAGCCAACGAACGCCCCTATTTTTGCAATGTACGGACTCCTGGATTTTTGAGCAGTTACTAGCCGTTGATTGCCTGATCGGTGTCACGCGGTAACAAAGCTCTTGGTCGTTGACTTTTGACTGGTTTGGGATATCACCAATTAAAGCCGTGCCACGTTTCCCACAAGTTAAAACGCAACTATCCTATCTAGGGGTGGGTTCGGTACGGTTAGGTATTGTTTGGTATGCAAACGAGATGGGACAGAACGGAAAGAGAACAAAGATGCCCTCGGATGGAAACAAGGAGGAAGAAGAAGGAGACGGAGAGGTTATAATTTTGTGTTCCACGGATGTGGAACAAGTCGTTCCAAGCAGGTGAGGCGGAACGAAAATTCACCCAAAATTCGTTCCGTGGAACAGCGTGTTCCACCCGTTTTAGGCGCACCAAACGTGGGACGGAACTCCTCATCCCACTCCGTTCCGTCCCGTTCTACGTACGAAACAGTACCTTACAATACCAAAATCCTTGTACTAATTACCGTACCAAACTTTCAGTTTGGTAAAATCTATTACTATTATCGTACCAAATTTTCGGTATTGTTGATGCACAAAATCAGCGAGGACTTTGGTACAACAGAAAGTGTCAGGTTTGTGACCTTCGCTTGGTTGCTTCAATCACTAGTGAAGATAAGTACGTAAATGAATAGGGACAGGGAAGCAAACACAAGATGTACGTGATTCACCCAGATCGGCTACGTCCACGGAGTAGAGGAGTTCTCATTAATTGTGAAGGGTTTACACAAATACATAGGTTCAAACTCTCATTTTGTGAGTTCTAGTGAATAGTTTAGTACAAAATGACATTCGAGATTATTGTGGGAGAATGATCCCTATTTATAGAAGAGAGTTTCTAGTTTTGTTCTAACATTGACACGTGTCGTGTTGTGATAGGTTTATGATGTTGACACGTGTCGCGCTGTGATTGGCTTCTGATGTCGACACGTGTCGCATTGTGATTGGCCTCCTGGTTGAAGGGAAGCTCTTCTGGGTCCTTGACGGTATAACGTTGACCGGTGCTCAATAGTTTCGAGATTGGTCAAGTATGGTACAAACAGGTATACCAAAATTCGGTATTGCCAAAAGTTCGGTTGGTATGGTATGGCAATGGTAATTGCCATTTTGTTTTGGGACAAAATCTGTTTTTGTTTTTTTAACCCAATTCAAGGGCAAAACTTTTTTTTTTTGGGTACCTTTATCTCATACATTATAGATTAAATTCATCTATTATTCATCATTCACAATTTACACACATAATAATTTAAATGATGCATCAAGATTCATTATAAAAATTAAGCTTACAATCCAAATAGAAGTTACAAACCAAAACAAATAGAAGTTAACAATCCAAATAAAAATTGAAGTTTCAAACCAAATGAAAATTGGAAGTAAACTTCAAAAAGGAGAATTCATTGATCAGTTATTCAAGCTTGAGATGTCGAAGCTTTTGGAGGAGGCATTGAACTTGTAGAAGATTGAGTTTGTATCAAGCCTACATTACAAACAAAGAAAACATATTAATTAGTAGCAAGAAGAATTAAAGTTGAAAACCATTTAATAACAAATTTACTAAAAAAATTAAATCATATCTTTCTTGTTTTCTCTTCTTCCATTTCCTTGTAAAATTGAAGCATATCTTCTGTTGGTTCCTTGTAGAAGTTTACTTCATCTGTCCTAAGTCAACCACTAGTACGCACTATTGCCTCTATTATTTTAGGAGTTAAGGATACCCTAAAAGGTTCCACAACTCTCCTCCATAGGCTAAATGCATTTTCACTAGCAACAGTAGAAGTGGGGGTTACAAAGATATTTTGGCTATTTGTGAAAGAATTATGAACTCTTTTGTGTTTGATTTCCACAATTTCAAGAGATCAAAGTCATAAACAACAATGCTAATATAAGTAGGGTTTTATTTTCAAATTATTGGAATATTATAAATATCTGTTATATAATTATCTATTATATAATTGTATTTTCGGTATGGTACAATAATACCGTGATAATGGTATCCATTACCAATACCGTACCATGAAATTTCGGTTCGGTATGGTACAATACCGTACCATTACCGATTGGTATAAAAAATTTGGCACAAAATCGGTATGGCACGGTTGGCAATTCGGTTGGCACGACAATTTGGCAAAAAAATCCACCCCTAATCCTACCCTCAAAAACAATGTAACCATGTGTTTGGGTGATGTGGCTGCTTTTAGGCCGTTGGATTTTTAATCGTTCTTTTTTTTGAGTTGTTGGAATTCCAATGGTGAAAAAATTTCAAATTTCTCCAAACGACTACATGAGGTGGCACGATCTGAACTGTTTGATTTTTCGCTCAACCGTTCATCTTTTTTGCTATAAAAAATAAATAAAAAGATAAAAATATAATTTTACCATTGGCCACGTGTTGCAATCTGGACGGTTGAATTTCGATTTTTTTATAATCCAATCATCTAGATTAATTAAGTTATAAAAAATTAATTAAAATAGAAGTTTTTTTTTAAATTATAATTTTTTTTTTCAATAAATACCTAACCATTTTCTTACACCTTACACCATATTTCCATATTTTCAAAAATTGTACTTTCGAATAATGACACATAGTATGACGAGATCTGTTAAAAATTATATTCAAAATTAAAAGTAAAAATATTTTTATTATTTTATAAAATAAAAAGAATAATATTTTAATACGAATTGTCTGGAATATGCAGTTTAGTGATGAAGATACACTTCGATAATTACTATTTATTAACGATAATTACTATTCATTATAGGGAATTGAATTGCTTATTGCTAGAGGTATTTCCTACACAGGAAATCTGGGGGCTAGAAATTTGCTTGTTTAATCAAATGGCCAACATTCTTTTGGAGAAATGGTTCCGTGTTCTTTCGAGGTGGGACCAGACTGGCTCTGGTTTATCCGCTCCGCATCATTCGCGTATCAGCAGCACATGACTTGTTGGTCGGTTGGGGTAAACACCGGATATGATCATGGTCGTATGAGAAGGACGCGGATGCGACACATATCCTGCCAAGTAATGGCATAAGTTGAACCCAGCAAATGTCTAAAGTTTTGTTTTTGGGTGAGCAAATGTCTAAAGTTCTTGCCAAACAAAACGGTTTACATCACAATCATACCCTCCCATTTTATTAGTAAAAATGACTACTATTTTAGATTAGATGGACACTATGTGTGTACATATAAAACATTTGAAAGAAAATAAATAATTACAAAAAAGGTTAGGAGGGAAAGAGTAAGTAGGAAATTATTTTTCAAATCAACTGTTTTTGGAACCAATAATTAGTAAAAATACAAGTAAATCATGAAAAAAAAATACTTAAATGATTCTTGGAAGAAGCACATAACTGATGCTTCTTGCAGAAAGCACTTCAAGTGTTTTTGGGACCTAAAAATATTTTCTCTATAAGCGTTTTAGTCATTTTAAAAGCACATCCAAATAAGCTAAAAAACACTTAACTACCTATTTGAGAAATTAACGATTTGAGTAGATATTATGAAAGATTGAACTGAATTAAATATGAAACGTGTTGAACCATAGAAATTAAAGGGAAAGGGGAAGAGTGAAAAGAGAAGAAATCGTCTCAAAATCAACATTGCCTAAAGAAAGTATGTGACAATCCGTCCCTAATTTTATGTTTTTATTAATTTTAAAAGCGTGAATTGTCGAAAATGCCCTAGAGGCAAGGATTTCAACTTCCATTGACCATTGTCTAGAGAAACGTATGACTTATTCTTTTGACGTATTTGTGTGGTACTCAATGGTACAAACGCATGGACGAAAACCGTTTGCGAGTCCGGATTATAACGGTATAGTTACGGACGTTTGAAATGGTTAGTTACATTTTAGATTATAAATCATTTGAACTCCCACCTTGTGGGAAAGAATCCCAATTAGTTTTAAGCAAAGAATAAGGGACCAATCAAATTAAAGGGTAAGGACCAATTAGAAATCAAGAAGAAGAAAAGAAAAAGAAAAAGAAAGGAAACTCCAGCCTTCCCGTCAGTCCATACACTCGCGCACCACCCAACCCAAATCCGGCGAATTTCCACCATTTTTCTCGTTGATCACCACCATCCATCACCTGCAAATCACTCATGTGGCCTCCCCATCCACCATCTCAGCCCAAAAATAGAGAGTTTTGGTTCCAATTTTCGTGAAGGTCGAAGCACGGCTTCGAGGGTACTAGGCGGCGATCCATCCATTTCTAAAACACTTACCTTCAATCACCACCACCAAAACACTTCTCTAGAGGTCAAGAACAAAACCCAAACAGTTTTAGGGGCGGTGGTGTTACGAATTGATCGAATTGAATGACACCTAAATTCAAGGGTTTCTGGCAGGTTCATGGTGATTTGAGGTTTTTTCAGGCCAAATTGGACTTGGCCACATGTATAAAACTTGCTCTACTCACTGAGATCTTCATTTTTGTGGAGTTTGAGAATTTTTATAAATAGTTGATTTTTCTGACGAGTTGAGGTGGGCGACTGCCGTGCACAGCGGCTCGTGGCAGTGGCGCATGGACCAAGGTATCCCCTAACCTTCCTAAGCTAAATTTGATACCCCAATTCCATATGTGAAGTCTAATTGATGAAATTTCATCGTTTGAACATAGTTATGATAGGGACAGTCACTTGAACCTTATATGAATTGACGATCCAACTGTTGGATCGTCACCAAACTTTAATACATTATAATACATAATATTTGAGGACAATAGAAACTGACGGATCGGGAATCCGACATACGGATCTTCTTGAACTGAATTTGTAAGCTCGTAAAATAAAACGTCGGCCGCCACTTAATTCTAGCAATTGGTAGAGATCCGACCGTTCGATCATAATGAAATTTTAGTATGATGTTCTAGAAGCATAATGTGGATCTTTGGAAGTTACGGATCAGAAATCCGTGGTGCAGATCTTCTGGATTGAGTTACGTAAGATTGTGGACCCTACCATCGACCTTTAACTGACGGTTGATTTTTGGTCAATTGGTTTCAAATCATTCTAGAACGGCCTTGGGGGTTTATTTTATGTAAGTTACGTGTTCTATCGATAAGAATTTTGAGACGTTATTTGATCATTGTTCTAGGTGATGATGGTTCATGATGCCTCGATATTCATGCTAGGGAATTGTAGCGTAGACTTCAGGTAAGTGGGTCTTTTCCTTTTTATAGTATATATATGATTGAAAGTTCCACAAATGCTTTTAAATTGATTTATGCATTTTATGCCATGTTATGTATATATTTTAAAATACTATGATATGGTTGAGTTTTAGATTGCATCATGGCTTATCCATATGCATATTACCTACATATAATTGTTGTTAATGCTTGGAAGTGCTAACGTGAACGCGGGACACGCAGGTAAGTTCAAGTGAGTTTATGGTGTTACTTGAAATGATTGAGTTATGACTTGACTATATTTATGTTTTATGCAACTCCGACACTATCGTACATTTTGTAATAATAGGCAACTCCAACACTGTCGTACAGGTTGCGATAGGCAACTCCGACACTGTCGTACAAGTTGCAATAATAGGCAACTCCAACACTGTCGTACAATTTGCAATAATAGGCAATTCCAACACTGTCGTACATGTTGCGATAGGCAACTTCGACACTGTCGTACATGTTGCAATAATAGGCAACTCTAAGACTGTCGTACAGGTTGCGATAGGCAACTCCGACACTGTCGTACATGTTGCAATAATAGGCAATTTCGACACTGTTGTATAGGTTGCCTATGAGTCATACAGGTTGCATTAGGCAACTCCGACTTGTGTGTTATCATAGATTGATTTATAAGTCGTACAGGTTACCTTAGGTAACTCCGACTTGTGTGTCAGCATAGATTGATGAACACCTTATTTTATTATGTTGCTGCTGATATGTATTGATTTGGAATATTTCTAGATTTACTGTTGATTTGCATTTGATTTCATACTTATACATAGTATGATTTTCTGGAAACTATACAGGTTTTACAGCGAGGGGTTATAACATTTTCAAAATGTTTTTATTAAAACTTTATTTTCAGGTCCACTTACCCTTGTTTTTCGCCCCTCCAGGTTTTAATAGCTAAGCTTTCTTATCGACGAGGATTCGTGGCTTATTTACACCTAAAAAAAACTATACTTGTATGAATAATAAAAGAATGATAAAATGCAAAAATAGAAGTAGAAAAATACACAAATGATATACATCCAAAAAGTTCAATATTTAAAAAACAGTAAACATATAATCATAATGAGGAGGATTTGGATGATAGACTAAATTCTTCTTGTTCATGAATCATGATCCTTGTATTGGATTGGACATAGACTAAATTATTTAACCTTATTGTTTCTAGTTTTATTTATTTTATTTGTATGTATCCCATCAAAAGTGTTCCAATTTGTTTCACTATTGGATGAACTTGTAGTAAATCCCGCATTTGCAAATTAGGTACACCATTTCCATATGTATACCATCATGAAACCAAAAAAGAAAAAAAGCACACAATTAATAAAAAAATATAAAAAAACTGCCTAGCTCTCCGCCTAGGAGCTGCCTAGGACCAACTAGGCGGCCACCTAGCTCAGACCGATTTTTCGAAACGATTTGCCCAAAATCGGGGCTGGCCTTCACCGCCTAGCGCCTAGGTGCCACCTAGATCAATTTTTAGAACACTGACTACAATTGGGTCAATTTGACCCAGCAGAAATATTCAAACTTCACACCCGCCTTATCCGAATCTATCTCCTTCAACTTCGCCCACTTCCTCCCCAACCCCATTTGACTTTTGACACCATTTTCGTCTTCTTATAAATCTCATGGAACAAGAAATGTTATCAAATTACAACATTGTGAAAAAGCTCAGCAAATGAGGCACTTTTGACACCATTTTCGTCTTCTTATTCACATGAAGGGGTGCATGTTTTGAAATAAGTTACACAATACACCAGTCATAATAAGATGATATCAAATGCATCATTCACGAAATTCAAACTTAAAATATTTCATTTATAAGTGAAGATAAATACCATTATATTATAGTATTAAATAACTGACCAAACAAAGTTATAAGCCAATCAAAACGTCCACATTAGCAACAACGTTAAAAAAGGACAACAATAGTGTTTTCTAACCGAAATGCCAATTCTTATGTGGCATAATATGAAATGGCTATAAAGATAGTTGTTGTCAAAATTGACAGCTTCTATTTTCAGTGGGTAATAAATGCTTTTTATAATTTTTGTTATTATCTTTTGTTTAAAAAATACTAATTGAAATTATGAAAATTAAATAATACAATTAATAATAGTTTAAATTTAACATATCATATGAAAAATTGGACATCTCGTTTAGAGATGGTTTTAAAACATCTCTACAAAAGGAATCAAAAAATCCACATCAGCAATAATAGTAAAAAAAAGATAGCATTAACGTTTTCTAGCCGAAATGCCAATTTTTATGTGGTATGACCTGGATTGACAAGAGATTGCGGTCAAATTTTATCATTTTTATCACTATCTTTTGTTCTAAAAATACTTATTTAATATATTCTTTGGAGATGTTTTTAAAATTTCAACATAATTTATTTAATTAATGGGAGGGCTTATACATAAATAATTTTTTCGGGAGAAGGGAACCCCAATGAGAGAAAAAGTTAAGGAAAAAGAAGAAAAGGAAAAAGAAAAGGAAAAGAAAAAAAGAAAAGAAAAAGAAAAAGGAAAGGAAATTACCTCTCCTTTTAATCAAAAGTATTATTACCTCTTATTCTCTTTCGTGTTTTTATTATTTTTACATCAAAATTTGAAATAGTGTCTTCGTCACTTCGTCTTCGTCTCTACCCACATATCTGTGTTGTCTCCACAACGATGGGAAGGAGATGTAGGGTTTGGTGGCCAAAGCAACTCACATTGAGCAAACCATCATCATCCTCCAATTTCTTGCTTGGTTGGTTTGTTTCTTCTTCTCCGTCTTCTCTTGACGTCGTCGTCGCTTTCGCCTGCACTGAACTCGCGCTTTCTGGTATTCAATCAAGTCTCCAGGTACATAAACTTCTTCAATGAGTGAATGCCAATCATATTTCAATCAAATTTAGCAGCAATTTATGTGGGTCGGTTTCAATCTGTTTATTACCGCATTTGATCGAATTTCGGGATGCATTTGATTTTTTGCTTATTTTGTATGGTTTGGGAAATTGGTTGAAATCATATATTATTTTCAGGGAATTCTTTGCGACGCGAACAGAAGGATGCCTGTGTTACTACAGGATAATTCTATGTTGTGTGTAGTGGGTCATTTGTTTAAGGTTCAAACAGAAGAGGATCAATCTCATTCTTCTTCTTGTGGGTGCCACAAGCTCAGTGGATCAGTAGAACAATGTAGGGAAAATTTTGAGGGAAACGGTTATTGGATTACGATGATGTGTGATCCTCAAGAACAAGTTGGAAAGGACATTACTTGGATTCCGAAACTGCATCACATTCACTGGCATGGGCAAATCGTTTCTCGGTGTGATGTCCACGTATGTAAGTCATGAATGCTTAAATGGCATGTGTTGGACTTAATTTATCTGTTAACTTTTATATATGATTCTCATGTTTATTTTTTGGTGATTAATATTTTGTTTTTGGTTTGATGAAATTTAGCTAATTTTGTATGAGACTCCCGCCTATGGTGCCCACCATTTCTCATTACATCCTTGGAATTCATTTGAGAAAGTGAGTGCACCTTTGAGAAAACCCAAGTGGGTTGATGAACTTCACCAGAAGCAGCAACTCCTTGATTTGGTAAGAGTTTGTGAGAATTCTTTTGTAGATTAAGACTTATCTTTGTTAATATATTGAAACAATATTTATTATCTTTAAATGCAGGATACAGTCATTCTGGCAATTAATAGCTCCGCAACCGCTGAAATTGTTTTTGAGAGCTGCCTAGGTCCCAAGACGTCTTTTGTGTGCTTTTCTACTGTTTACATGTATCTATTCACACATTTACCTCTCTACTACTCTCCTTTTTATGTCCGGCACTATCTGCGGTATTTTAGCCGACCCCACTTAGTGGGAAAAGGCTTTGTTGTTGTTGTTGTATTATTTGCGGTATTTAAATGGCTATTCTGTGGCTTTTCAGGTTTGTGGGCTTTGTATGGCAACTATTCGCCATGTCTGTGGCTTCATTATCCGCTTTATTCTATGTCGTTCTTCAGTTTCTGTATAGACTTCTGAATTATGCATCAGACTCTTGGATAGACCTTATATTAGTAAAGGTATTCAGCATTTCAAGGATAAATGTCAGAATCCGTGGTTCTCAGATCTTGTATTGGCCAATCGTTCTTCAAGATAATGGCATGAGGTAAGATGAAAATTTCAACTGCAAATATGGGATATTTTTCAATCCTGTGGAGTTGTCTGACTGATAAGTTGGGCTTTATATTCCCTTTCATTTGCATTCTAATTTTGGATAAAATTTATAAATCCCAAGATGTTATTAGATTTCAGTCCAGTTTGGTTTATAAGAAATTTTCCTATTTATAAATTTTGTACCCTGCAAGTGTTTAGGGTTTTTTTATCTGTACTTTTGTAGGCTGAGATTGAGGTTTGTTTGTGACCATGATTGGCCCATCCACCTGATCTCTTCCATCATCTTCTTCACTGCATTGACAATAACCCCTTCATCTTTTCTTGTGTTACACGTAACCTGTTATCTCCAATAGACATTTACTGATGAGTCTGTTTCGTCTTGTGTTTTTTTGTTCCATCTCCATTTGTTTCTTTCTTTCTGGTAGTAGGCTCCTCTTATTTCTTTGAATTAATTGCAATTATTTCATCACCTTATTCTGGATTTGAAAGGTCACCATCAAGTGTGGAATACGCGGAGAAAGCCGCATTGCATAAGCATTCCGTGTGGTCAAGTTTAGCTGTTGATGTACTTCTGGGAAACTTGTTTGGTTTGGTACTGTTGTATCATGCAGAATCTGTTTGCATATGGATCTTGAAATTTTCCAGTGACATGACGAATGAATTATTGCGCTCAGGCTGTGTGTGGTTGATGGGGGTACCTGCAGGTTTTAAGTTAAACAATGAATTGGCAGGAGTTCTTGGGATGATTTCTCTAACTGCTATCCAGATTTGGTCTACCATTTGGATCTTTTTGGGGTCCCACTTTCTTTATTTCATTAGAGGACTTGCTATATCAGGAATCATTTTTGGGGTGACTATACCTGCTGCTTTGATAATCGACTTGATTGCACTAGCAACGTTGCATGTGTCTACTCTTCATTGGTTGATATCACTTTTGTATTCAACTCAGATACAGGCATTAGCAGCTCTGTGGCGCCTTTTCAGGTATTACTTGGTGATGTCTTGTTCTTTCTTTTTCAGTTTTCTTTGGCATTGTATACATGCGATAGGGTCATTTTTCTAACCAACCTATTTTTTATCCCTTAACACGTCATATGCTTATTCAGCACCTGTTGGTTGGATTTGTAGGTCTTTAATACATAGTTCTTCAGTCAAATTACACTTAGTATTTCCTGCAGTTTAGCCCATTTTCCAATTCCCTGTACTTTAAATATGTTTTATTTGTACCCTAGTATTTTGATTACATTTGCAATCCAGGAAAAAATGTCAACTTTGTCTGGCAACGTGAAAATTATATGATAGGTATGTTTAGAGACATCTACCTCCTTGCCACATCACCACTCAGTTAATTTATTAGATGAAGTTGTTTTGTCCTCGATTGCAAATGTAACAAAGGGATGTGCATGAAATTGAAAAGATTTAGAGCACAGGGATTTATGTGGAAATCAGGCTAAGCTAAAGGGAAAGTGTGACTTGATCTGGTTCTGCCAGTAGCCAACCTTCCAATGAAGAGGCAGTTCTTTCCCTGATTACGTCATTGCGAACTTTGCTCGTTGGTTTAACCTTGACCTTTTTATTTGCCTAGCTAGTTGCTACTGTGCTTTTATATAGGGGTTTGATTGTATGGTTGTATTAGATTTTCCATATATGCAGCTGTCATCTGCGATAAGAATGCCCATAATGCTAAAAAATGATATTGGAAACCCCGTGTTCCTGTAGCAGAGTCATTTTCGTGTAAGCTAAAATGTTAAATCTGTGGATCCACTAACTTCTCGTATATTTCCTTTTAAAGTAGGAGTAACATCCTGTTTCTAGAAGATTGCTGTGCTTTTTATATCCATTTATCTGTTCATGTACTTATGTATGTACTAATGTCTGCATGTATAAATATGTACAGTGTACACCCATCCAAGACTTGCTAGTCTTTGGTGTAGTGAAGATAATTTTGTTATAATTAATTGACGTGAATTGCTATTTTATGAAAAAGCTCCCTTTTTGTTGTGCACCTCTCTCAATTCATTGATATATAGAATTTCAATTGTATATAGCTGGTGAAGGTATAAGTAAAATATGTCCTTTATTGGTAATTGTTTTGCTGTTTTGTAACATCTAGTTTCTCATGTACTTGCTGAATGTTTTTCAGGGGCCGAAAGTGGAATCCTCTTCGTCAGAGATTAGATAGCTATGACTACACTGTCAAGCAACACATCGTTGGATCTCTTCTGTTCACACCACTCCTACTTCTATTACCGACAACTTCTGTTTTCTACATCTTTTTTACCATTATGAACACAACTATCACCCTTATCTGTATACTGATTGAAGTGACCATATCTGTTATCCATGCCACACCATATATCAAAATTTTCCTTTGGTTGGTCAGGCCGAGAAGATTTCCAACTGGGATATGGTTTGAAATAATGTCTGTTTGGAGTGGTGGAATTGATTCTCCTAAGGGTATTATTTCACCATCAGATAAACTTCAGACCGGAAAGGACCTCACTAGATCTTCTGTTGTGGTTTCATTTCTCCATAGTAACTTCTTGACTGTAGGTGAGAGCTTGATCTTTTTTTTAAGTGCATTAATGATGTTTCTATAGTTTACCGTATCTCAGAAAGTCTGAAAGCTTCACGTCGATTACTTGGGCTTTACTTTTGAAATATTTCATTTTAAGTCAATCAGGAGTCAGGACCATGCAAAATTAAAAGCTTTAAAACTTCAATAATTAAAGTGCGGTGTCTCGAGGCTCTGTTTACCTGTGCACGTGCGCGTTCTGTAGCATTGCTTCAATAAGCTAATTCCAAATGAAGTTTTATGCAGATTGTGTTACATGCATGAATTTATGCTTATGCAGAACATGCATTCATGATAACGAGCTGAAAGATGCATTGTACTGTCGAAGTGATAAGGTATACTTATTTATGTCTGATACTTTTCTTCTAACTGTATTGATGGAATATACATATCAGGACAAATAGTCATGCCTCACTACAAAAAGCTTCTTTCTGGGAAACCTCGGACATTGGTTGCTACTGCAGCTTATGGAGTCCTCACTGGCAGACGGTGAGTTGAAATTTGAATTCAAATTTGACCGTTATTTTCCTGGCTTTTCAAATTTAAACTCTTTGAAATGGTTCCAGGATTCCATCTACAATCGGAACTGATCTTCCAATATTTCCGTGGATGCTAATCTCCTACAAAGAGTATTGGCGTCTCTGCCGCGATTCAGTTCTCGCATGCCACAGAACGTGAAATGTAACTAGTCTTGCCGCTGCCCGTTAACAACTAACTGCAGTTATTTTAACCTAACCCGAAATTTTGTTCTCCCATGTAAACCACTCTTGTGTCCATTGATTCTGTTTCGGGCCGACCATTCAGGCAACATATATCTGATTCGATTTTGAAGGATTGCAACGGAAAATTATGTTATTTTTTGAAATTTTTATACTTACTTCCATCTGTTTCATCCAAAATGTCTGCTCCGTTGCTTAAATAACGTGATTCGAGTATAGGGATTTAATTATCATGCGGTCAGAAGTGTGTTCTTGGTGCGGGTACATAACTTCATCCATCCCAGTTGATTCGGACCTAAGATAATTGATGCGTGGTCCGTTCTACTGGGATGAATTGCAACTGCAAGTCGCAGGTTGACGCCTATACTGAAGTGACTTAAGTAAGAGTACAAAAATAAAGTTTATGATGTGTATGTTAGGAGGAAAGACATAATTTTAAGTAGTTGACCTGAGATTTTCTATGGAGACGTTGAGTGCTAGAGCTATTGACCCAAAAAAAAGAGTTGCAAATCTTCAGTTCAGAGGGTCAGGAGGAGGGTGTTGAGAAGCTGCAGTGTTTCTCTTCGGGTTTGGAATGCCATTGGAAATCCTCGACCTCCTAGTCCAGCAGGTGCTGCTCATTCTTTTGCTTGAGATTTGTTAATGTAGGAAACACATGATCCTGTTCGTAGAAAGCTCCGGCGGCATCCAACTCGAGAAACTCTAGCTGAGAAAGACAGCAACAAAGTTGGCTAAAAGGAAGCTATATGGATATACGGTCACCGGTGTATGCTCGGTCGACGAAAGTTGAATGAAACAAGGTTATTCAATGTTTTTGAGGTTAAAACCAGATTCTATCGCTAGATTCAAGGCAATCGAAGGGCCCGAAACTCTTAATTAACCAGATTTCCGGTGGCATGATCCACGGTTACCTGCTCAAGAGTTTCTCCAATCACTGAATCCCACGCTTATTTTTACTTTTAACCAGTTTAGGATCACAAATCACAAATTTTTAGTTCAAGGACCAAAGCTCTAATCGTTTAAAAGTTCATGAACAATTACTCTAATTTCATCTTTACGGTTATATTCAAATTAAACTTAGTGACCATCTTAACCATCCGTTAGTTCATTGATTTGAATTCTAACGCTAAACCTGAAGCAGACATAATTGCATTGCATTATGATTAAAAAAACAAATGAAAGCAAAATGTGTACCTTTTGTTAGTGCCACGTTCGATAATCTCCTTTGCTTCAAATATCCTGAAGAAGACAAAAAGTTGGATGCATTAGTGCAAAGCAATCAAGTTTATCAATTCCTTTCCGCACAAACATCAAATTGTTAGATAAATAATAAGTAATGTATTCTTAAAAGACATAGAAAGAGTCACAATTACTGAAAAAATGTAGAGCCAAATATTACTTTTCACACAAATATCTCATTTTGAGAGTCTTCTTAACATTTCTATTGTAAAAAATTTCTGTTAGTAGCGATAACCTTTTTTTTTTTTTTTCCTTTAACAAACAATATTATTTACACTAAGACTTATTCCAACCCTTGGAGTAAAACTCAAATTTTAGGTTCTAAACATACCAAACTTGCTCTAAGCCTCTAACCCTTGAGCCAAATATGAGTTTTAACCCAAAACTCATTTCTGGAGCAAATTTAAGCCAAAATTTCCCTTGGGTTAGCAGGTTAGGCCACCATATATGTGTATTTTTTTAATATTATATTTATAAATTCATTGAATCCTAGATCTAAGATCTAATATGATCAAATCCAATCATCACGAAAAGAAAAGAAAAAATCCATCGGTCCAAATTTAAATCCAATAGCCAGATAATTTAAACACTTTCATGTGTTTCTGTTTAGGCCCAAAATAATAGTTTGGGCCGAGTATAGAATCATTCTCGGCCCGGAAGGCCTTGCAGCAAAGGTGCTATGGATCGTTCAGTACGTGGGCCTCCAAACCTAGGTCGGCTAGGTCAGGACGTAGGATAAGTCGAGTCCTGGTGCAATAAGGAGTCTCATCATGATTAATAACTCGAGAGCGAATCTGGTTCAATAAAGGACTAGGTTCACAGTCATAATGAAAGTAGGATTGGTCGAGTCAGTGTTTGATCAGGAGAAGAAGTCCTAGTCCGAATAGGGTTTTAACTCGACCTTGGGGGAGCCGTTGCTATAAATAGAAGAGGTTGTGCATCATTCAAAAGCCCCTGCAATTCAACACAAAACTGCCCTGTGCAAACTCTCTCAACAACTTTGAGATTTTTTCTTTTCTCTTTTCGCTGCCACATCTTCCGTTGGCATCAACAGCACTGTGAAAGCAATCGTTGATATCTTAAGTCGGCATAGATAGCTCTGTCATCGTAGAATCAGTCGGTCTCGCAGTATCTTCCGTTGGCATTAACAGCACTGCGGCGAGAACGGTTGGTTACCTATCCAAGTCTCGGTTGAGAAGGATTTCTAGATCCTTATTGATTGAGGTCATCTCATTAGCCTTCTCGGCGAAGTGAGGTGTTACAGTATATCGAGCTCAGTGCATTGCATGTCGAGTTATTTTATGATTAGATACTCCCAAGTGGGATTTAGAGTTCGGCATTCGGACGGCCAAACGACGTTCACTATTAAAACTTATATTTGCTTTGAGTATTTGTGCCCTTACACTTTGGTGTCGATTTGGCGAGAGTTTACTTTGACGAATAACATCACTGTGACCGAATCCGACGACGACGACGATTCGTGAACTTCGTAAGAATAGTAACCTTGTTTTCAGGTTCGAGAACCCAAGAGGCCGAGACGTGTTCCTCGATCGCAGTCGCAGGACGCATAAGTTAGCCGCGCACCCAACGCAACATCAACAAATTTACTCCTCGGCCGAGCTCGGCCGATGAGTTGGCACGCCCCGCATTCACCGAAGGACGTAGTTAGCTTATAGATTATTCGGCCTGCGTGCCACGTAGGCTTGGTAGTTTTTAGGGCCAACATTTTGGCACGCCCAGTGGGACCAAGTGCTAAACTACGAAGTTCATGCCAATTGAAACGCGATTGGTAAAAAAGAAAACAGCTATGGGAAAATCAACAGCCGATTTGCCGATTCAGAACATAGGACACAGTGTGCCACAGGCGCAGAATCCCATCAGCGCCGTAACACCTGAGTCCACGAGCGCAACCCGCCGAGAAAGGGAGGTTAATCTTGACAGTCAGTTTCGCAGTCTTGAAATCCCCGACAGGAACACCTGCGTTCTCAATGAAGGAATAATAGAAGATCGTGATAAAGATGGTGGCGAAGGATCCGATCCACCCACAAGGTCGTTTCTTCGAAAACGGCTTGACGAGCAATCTCGGACGGTTGAACAGACATTGAGTCGAGGAATTGATAAGCTTCATGACGTGATACGCAATTCCAGTGAAGCACAAACCAGATTACTCGAAATATTGGTTAGTAAGGTCAGCGATGGTAGAACTTTCGATCTTGCCCAGCATTTGCCGCCGAGGAATAATCTATTATCAAGTGCATCGACTGAGCCAATTCCTGCTCGGCTCAGGCCAATTAACTTGGAAAGAGGAGGAGGATCGAATAGTAGGTCAGACGGATCCGACCAGAGAGTGGAAACAACATCCGTCGATGTGACTGAAGTTCAACGGATGATCGATTCGGCCATGAAGAAAGGGCCGAAGTTCCCTAAGTTTATACACCCGTATCCAGCTTATGTAGAACAGGTCGAGTACCCTAGAGGTTTCAAGATCCTGGATTTTAGCCTTTTTACCAGAGAATCATCCTTATCCTCGTTGGAACATGTAGCTCGTTTCACCGCGCAATGCGGAGACGTTAATAGTGACTTTCACAAGCTGCGACTTTTCAATTTTTCGCTGACCGGTTCAGCGTTCGCTTGGTATATCAATCTTCCATCGAATTCCGTCCAGAGCTGGGAGGAGTTGGTCGAGAAATTTCATGAGCAATTTTATCGGCCGGGGATGGAAATGTCAATATCCTCACTAGCAAGGATGGCTCAGGCGTCCGACGAGTCACCAATGGATTATCTTACTAGATTCAAATCAGCTAGGAATTGGTGCCGAGTACCTCTCCCCGAAGTCGAATTCGTCAGACTTGCTTTGAACGGTCTTGACGTCGAATACAAAAAGAAATTCTTGGGGGCAAACTTTTAGGATATGTATGAATTAGCCCAACATGTTGAGCAGTATGATTATTTACTCCACGAGGAAAAGATTTCGAAAGCTCCATCTCGGGGGACGATTTACAAGAATCCTACTGTCAATTATGCATCGACCGAGGATGAATGCGTTAGTGTGGATGCAGCCGAGATAGTGATAGATAAGCCATACGTGTGCAAGGCATTGACTCAAGTCGACTCTAAGGAAGTCAAAACCCGTTCGGCCGCTGAAGGAACACTGAAATCGTCAAAAGTTTATACTTTTAATATTACAAAAGCCGATGCCATTTTTGATCAACTGTTATCAGCGAGGATCATCAAACTTCGGCCTGGGCACAACATTCCCAAGGCCGGAGAACTTAAAGGAAAGATATATTGCAAATACCATAATTCAAGCAAACATACGACAAACAATTGCGTCGTGTTTCGAGACAACGTCCAAAGCTGGATTGATAGTGGCAAACTGAGATTTCCAGAGAAGAAGATGAACGTTGATACTGACCCGTTCCCCACGGCAACAGTAAATATGGTCGATGCGTGCCTACCTAAGGATAAAAGGAAAGGGAAGGTCGAAGCTGTTGCAACGCAATACTCTCGGAATCAGAACTCTCAGCCACGTTTCATGGCCGATTTTCGTTCAAACGAACCACCTACAGCTTTGACGGGACCTGCTATTGTCAAGCCTATGACGGATTACAGCACTGATGAAGACAGTGGAACGGCGGTTTTATGCAGTAAATGTAAAGCAAAAGTCAACATTGAGCTAGAGGAGAAGTCATCTCCACCTATAATAGAACAACCTGCAGCCGCAACCCAGCGAAAGGCGACCAATGTAGGCTAACATCAAGGGGTTTTTGATAGGCTCGGTCCTAAGGTAAAGGTGGAAGAGACACATTCAGTCAGACGGTGCCTCGATTTTGATGCCCCGTTCTATGACGAGGACTACTATATACGTAACTCTAGCAGCTCTGAGTCATCGCGAAGCCAAAAAACTTTCAAACCTCCTGAACCTAGAGACCAA